TCACGCTGATCATTTATATATCTACTTGAAAGAGTCTCCGACGTTTCCTTCTGGATGTTATAAATATGGTGACAAACTTAATATACACTTTTCAGGCTATAAAAAGAATGAAATCACTATGATATTGAGCTTTACCAGTGATTATAATTCAACATCGAACTGCTTGTAATAAGGGTTGCTTTCAGGATATGTTCTAACTTATCTTATTATACCAGGTTCTTAAATATACATCTATAGAACGCTAGGAAAATAAGTGGATTTCAAAAAACTTTCTTATAAGTTATTTTCGAGAGATTGACAGACCATTAGATTGCCTTAAATATTGAAGGGTTTTCAGTTAGTTTTTTCATAGTCTTCTGATGACAGAGTAATCGCTACATAATTTAGCGCTTATCTTAGTGCTGCCGAATTCCGAAAGAGGTTTACTGATTTAAAACTGATATTCTACAGAGACTTGGGAGCCCGTTTTATACCATAAGTTGTCTCACCACACTTTTTACTTAAAAACTTCTTGAGGAGTTGAGTTATATCCACTTATAAATAAAAATTGTTTAATTTTCGGAAGTACCATATCAAATGTACTGATATTGAAATATACAGATAATATAGGAGATAAGAGCGTATTTTAAAGAAATTTTTAACTTAGTGTAATCGGTTCCCAAACGTTTTTCACGACGCGGTTTTCAGCTCAATCGACTTAAAATTTTACACGAGTTTCTTTGGTATACATATTTGTCGGATAATGATCAAAAGAATAAAACTTTTTCATAATTATTTAGATTTTTTAAGCCACTGTGATGACACTCCTAACAAAAAACGACTTTTTTTTTGGGTAGTGGCCATTTTGTCAAAAATCAAAATTTTAAATAAAGTTACGATCTTTCCCTGCATTAATTTATTGTCGGGAAAAATTTTTATGCATTTTGGACTTGACATAATTTTAAGCAGAAAAATCTTCCTCAGCTCTACACACCTTTTTTCGGAAGTCCTCCTTTAGATCGACTACGGGCTCGAGGGAATCAAAATTGTGTAAAAATGAATTGCCGATTATTATATTACATTAAATCTGTAAATTTATCTAATATTGATTAATTTATTGAACAAAATGCCTCTACAAAAAAAAATTCACGGGAAAAATCACATTTTTTTATTTCCAAGTGGATATAACCCTTTAAAAAATTATATATACCTAAATAGATTTATAAATAAGTATACTTGCCAATGTGCCGTTATTATTATTTAATTTAAAGCATAAACATATATATACATATATAAAATATATACAATGTAAAAGTCAATAAATGCCTTAGCCACAAAAAAAGTTTTCCAACTACCAAATGCAATTAGCGCCACCCTAGTCTACTAAGCGAATTACCGCACACTAATTCATCGATATATAGATATATATATATATAGACACCAGCACACAAACTCACCTGATAAATCGGATATATCCAAACAACTCGAACGGCTTTTGGTGCGTTGCAAGAGTGGATGTTGTAATGGCTGTTGCTGTTGTTGTGGTTGATTTATCGGCGACTGATTGACAGCGCTGCCATTTGCGGTGATGCCACTGCAAATATTATTACAAAGGCTATCAGCGCCCGCATTCAATGGCAAGCCGCCACTACCGCCGCCGCCGCCACCACTAATGCTAGACCCCGAGCCGCTGCTGCACCAGTCTGCATCCATGGCTTTGGATGCGCTGCGCTTGAAGTGTTCCAGAAAATTATCAATTTGCTTTTCAATCGAGTTCGATGGTGAATTTTCCATAATTGCTCTTATGCATTATTGTTAAGCGTGCAGAAAAAAATACTTGTCTGGATTTGTTTGCTTTTTCTTTCTTGATTTTTTCTTTTGATTATTTTTGTGTACTTATATCCAGCTTGATGGCATTTGAAGGCAGTTAGAGGCGTATATCGTGTAACTATGTCACAAATGCTGCTTCTTCTACAGTTGAAGGTCAATTAACTTCCACTGCGTGAACTTTTCGCATGCGAACGACGCATAATAGACGCTCACTTGGCGGTGCCACTAGTACCGAGGGGGTGGGTTAAGGCGTTGGAGAGCGCAGCAGCTTGGCCACTTTCGGAAAGGCCTTGAGCTAAGTATTTATACTAAAAAATATATTTATCTATTTCCTTTTGCGATTTGCACTGATTCACCTTATATTTTATGAACTTCTGAAACACAGAATACTTGCACTCACTTTTATTTTACTTATTTTTCCATTTAATTTATCTTCGCCTGTTACACTTTTTAGATAATTGCTGCGCATATATTTTTACACGCATTTACACTCCCGTAATTGTTTTGAAATCAATTACTTTAGCGCTAGACTTTTTCACTTAAGCAACAACACTTTTTCTCTAATTTTTCACAACTTTTGTTTGAAAATTTCTCCGATAAAATTTCCACAATTGCGACCCTTTGACTCGTATGAACTTAACCCTCGTTCCACACACCTCTATTTACATATACCGAATACACATTTACGACACACCGCACTTCAGTAAGGCCTTGCCGCGTTGGCTTGTATATCCTTCATATCCACTTTTAGGCGCGAGCACTCGTTTCACTATTTTCTCTGTGTGAATTTCTGCTTGCTAATCTATATTTTTCCAAGGCCCAACCGTTTGTGAGCGTAGCTAGCGTTGAACTGAAGTCACGGAGCGGCGAATCCGTATCGCTGAGTGGCAAGCGACGTTGCATGCAACGGCGCATTGCACACGCCGTCGATTTTTCACCCCACAACCCCTTTCTACTGGTTTTTCAAATATTCTACATTTTTATTGTTGCGCTGGAAATTTATGCCGCGTCGCCGCGCTGCTGCATGGCTGGGTAAATACGGAACCGGCGTTGAAATGCCATCGTTACACGTGACTGTAACATTGCTGTTGGACGTGGCGAAAGCAGCAGCGTTAGCGTCGTCGACAATTCAGGCAGAGCGAATCGCATTTCTTCGTTGCTTTGTGGTTTGTTGCCTGTGTTGCTTGATTTTTCATATTTTCTTTTATTTATTTTTTTTTTTGGTTTTCTTCCTCAAGACGCTTCGCCCGTGTAGTTGTTATTATTGTTGCTGTCATTGTTGTGGGTGGCTGAAACGTAGTCATGCGCAGTGCTTGTGGGCGAAGATAATCAGCTGTGCGGCGAGTTTTATTTGAATTTGTAATAGATTAGTGGGGTAGTAGAAATTGCTCAATGTTGCGATAGTAGTTGGTCCCTATCTTTTATGCTATATTAGGTTTGTCACGAGGTTTTTAACGCCCAGAAGGAAACTTCGGAGACCACATAAAAAATATATGTAAATAATCAGCGTAACGAGCTAAGCTAATTTAGCCAGTCGAACTAGCTATTAAGATTTTGCGAACTAGTCTCTCAGTTCCTGAGATATCGATAAGAAATTACAGTACACAACATTTTTCCCCAAGGAGCTGCTTAATTGTCTGAACAGCCGATACCGGACCACTATAGCATAAAACTGCCATACAAACTGATCAATTAAAATCAAGTCCTTATATGCAAAACCTTTTTATTTGACGACATATCTGCACGAAATTTTACATGGATTATGGTTGAAGGAAGTCATGTCTTTTCATACATGTTCTATTCATAGTACACAAAAACAAAAATACTTTCCACAGCGCCATCGTGGCTTTCAAAGTGAATCTGATGGAACTATATTTCGAAATTAATCTAGTCGGCATGGAAAGGAACACCTGGTTTGAAAAAAAAGCTAGATTTCAATGTTTATGGCAGTCTACATCTTATATGTATAGGTTATTCACGGTAATTAAAATGTATTTTGTTCAATGGCGATTTTCTAAGAAATCTTTTATTTAGTTACCGACCGATCAGTATACACCATTAAATAAGTAATAGAGTATTATCTCTTGATTGATCCCTTTTCGATTAAACATAATCCACAGTCGGTTTCGATCCAACCAACTTCGAAGTGAGAATAAATAATAAACCTATGAATGAACAAACGTTGAGTGAGTCTTTTGACGTAGTCCATCTTTTCATATACATTTTCGGAAATTTTTAGAAAGCAGCAGTATAATAGTAAAAAGTAACGATACGATAAGTACGATATATACTTTTAAACTTGCCTCGGCTTTGTGAGAGTAAGAGAAAATGAATATTAAGGAGGGACGTTTTCTGTGTCTCCTCGATCTCGTCTAGGAGTTTATTGCCACTTGTCACAAAAAAACCGTTTTTTAGTAAATTTTGTTAATTAGGCATTTTGTTTAGTAAATAAATAAATAAAAATAATGAATAACTACAGAATTTAATATAGTTCAATAATCGATAATATATTTGGAAACATTTTTGATTCCTTTGATCCCGAATCGATATCCAGGAGGCCACCCAACAATTGTGATCAAATAGGGGTTTTGTGAAATATACATACCAGTAAAAATTATTGCTGCTGTTGTAGCGGCAGAAAAAAAATCTGAAATAATTTGGCGGAATGCTGTCGAATTGACCGTCCTTGGCTGGATAAAAATCCGGGTTCGTAGACCCGATGTGTGTAACGACGATTGAAGAAAACTACCAACTGAATAAAATACTTTTGCACGATCTAGACACCTTATTCGACCCGTGCCGAATCACTCATTTAAAGTGCTCGACTTGGAACATGTCTGTTCCAAAAGCTGATTCAAAACTTTTTCTTATCAGTTTGTATCGAAATGATTTAAATATAGTTTTAAGAATTTTATTCATACTTTTAAAATACATTTTTGTATATTTTTTAAATCTGTCTAAAATAATATACAATATATCACTTATATATTTTACAGAAGTCTCGAAACCAGAACATTCAACTATTGTAATAGCATTCTCTTTCTTTGGTTCTCTTAAAACAATCTCTGTACACCAACAACCCACTCTGGGGGCCTCGCTCAATACAAGCTAATTAAATAATTGAGTGCGTTAGCGGGCGCTAATTCGTCGCTAGAAAGTCATCAACAACAGCATCCATCAAAGATNTGTACGTTTTTAGAATTCGAGTCACTTTCGGCCACAAGCGAGGAGATACAGAGCGCTCACAACGGCGATACACCAACACAACCAAAACACACAAATACATGCGAGTGAATGTGGATATATGTATAGTGAAAGCATGCAAAATGTCTATGAAAAAGAACAAAAGTATTTACTCGCTGCTCTAAAGGGGAGGTCGAATCGCGGTCTGGCTGGCTGTACGCGCTTTGCTGCAGTCAAACGGCACAACGTGAAATCAGTTTCTCGCCGCTCGTGTACGGAACAACAACGTAGCTAAAGCAAAAGCAAAAGCATAAGTGAAAAGCGCCAAGCAAAACGCTGAGTAGAAGACTGAGTAGAACGGGTCATAAAGACAGGCAGACAGTATAGTCAGTCAGTCAGTTGGGCAAACGCAAGCCACCCCAAAACACCACGAGTGAATTTTTAACAAAATAAAAAGTGCTGAGAAAAGTGAAAAACTTGTTCAAATAAAATAAAAAATAAATAAAATTTCATTTCTACACAATTTAACAACAACGACAACAGTTTAAACAAAATGAGCAGTAAGTTCGAGCCAAAGTTGTTGAAGAACTAAAAGCAAAAATTTATTAAAAATCTAAAAAATTAAAATCTAATACAAAACGCACGCAAGTTGCAAGCTTAATTTTTTTTTAAATTAATTTACAACTGCAAATATAAGCAGCAAATAAAAGGCAAGCGAGAAAATTGCAAAAAGAAAAATCAGAAAAATCTCGCATAGCGAAACTTTCAGCAACGCAAAAATAAAAATTTAAAATAATTAACAGTTAATAAATAAATAAGAATTTGCTGAGTAAAAATCTGAGTTGTATAGTAGTTAGCAATAATGAAATATGAGTAAAAAGATATGCGCAGAAATAGGAGTAACAATAACAAAAACATTGTTGTCAGCTGTGCATTAGTTGGCAGCTTAGGCTTATGGGGCACACGCACACACACATACCTGCAGTTGCTTGCCTAACAAATTCCGAGTCAAAGCTGCGCCTTATCAGCCATTTAGCGCGCCGTGTCCCTACCCCACCTGCGTCACCTTGTTATTATTTGTATTAGTAAAAATTATATCATCATAAATATTTTTTGCGCACACCTTTACCACGCTTCCTCCTCTTTTTAATATTTTTAGCAACTTTTCAAAGTTATAAAAAAAAAAACATTTTTTTATTGAAAAAAGCTGAGTTGTAAAATGTGCAAGCGCATAACCTGCAATCACACCCTCCTTTTCTTCCAACAAATGCCCGTATAGACTCGCGGCGCCGCTTTATGCCAAAGCAGCTGCCTGTAAAAGCATTTAAACCGCCAAAACGCAAGCAAATTAATTTATATACTTAGTTTGTTTTTGTATTTGTTATTGTAATATTCCTTCTACATCAAACAGCAACTTCAACGTGAAGTCAGTGCTGTTGTTATCAGCGCGTTGTCTGCATTTTTTTGTTTGAAACGCATATTTCCTTTGCATTGGTAGCAATAGCGGCGACCTTAAGTGACCTTCAGCGTGTATGCCGCCTGCATGTCGCAGCGCCAACTACAATTTCAAAAAGCAAAAAAAAAAAACAGTTTCCTGACTCTTCTGCTCTCCATTTGTGTTGGCTTGCGCTCGCTCTTTAGCTACAACAACACTACACTACATACAATAACTACTCACGCTATAAGTTTTCTAATTTTATACTGAATTTTTCTAAATTCACAAGCGATTATATGCACTCGAGTGTTCTTCTTGTTGTTGCTATTCGTCGTGTGTTGGTTTTGCGAAAACTTGTCGAAATGAACGTCATTGACATGATTTATATTTATGTTTTGCACATATTTCTCACATACGCACATACAGTCCCACAGAGTCACATACAATGTGTGGCCATTGCGCGTGTTTGTTGTTGTTGTAACTATTTATAATTTAAAATTTTTTCATTATTAGCATTCATTTTTTGGATTTTTCTCGTTGACACCCCTCAAATCTGTCATTCACGCCATGTCAGCGTAACTTTTGACAATCAATTTCATCCGTCAATGGGGTCAAGTGTCAAATGTGTCATCTCACACATATTATTTGGTGCAACTCTCTCTCTCTCTATCGCTTTTACTCTCTTATGCTATAGCGTACGGCTGGTTTTTTTCTTTTTGGCTCCATGCATTTGCGTGTGCTCTCCGTTGGTTTGCGCCCTCTCCATGCCTTTGCATATCACGTTTCATATTTCCATTGATGATTCGTATTGTTGAGGTACTGAATTTTATATGTTTTAAATAAGCGTTGCGGCATCAGCAGTATCTACCCGCATTTGTAATCAAGTGCCGGCAATGTTCCATGCATATATAAATATATACTTAAATGTGAAGGTCTTTCGAATTTTTTCACTGATAAGCGGTGATACGCACGTAGGGGGCGCTACACTCTGATTAGTTGGTGCTTTTGTAATTCGGAAGATTGCCGCAAGTGCATGAGAGTATTTTATTCTTAATTTTTGAAAAATTTATATTACAGCTTACTTTAATTTAAGAGGTCTGTTAAAGGAATAATCATATCTATAAGAATCTTAACACCCCTATATCGATTTATTCTTGAATCTTCTTGAGTATGGAAATTGAGCGGTGTCATTCAGATATTAATAAAGATTTCCGAAAAGTTTATCGTATTCGTATGTGGCACTACTATATTTCGAAAACGGTGAGAAATTCAGAGTTCTGGAATAATTGAACGATGAGATCAATTTAAGAACATTTACTAAATGAAAATATATGGCTAAACCTTAAAGTTATTTTGAAAAATTTTATTGGAAAGAGAATATAAAGATCTCGTGTTTTTTCTAGAACTTAGCTGTACAATTAAATTTCGAAAATGCCTCAAAGTTATTTTGATATATCTTAAAAATTTGTTAGTATTGAATAAATGTCAACCATTCTGTTAGAAATGCATGCGATATAAGCAGGTAAAATGTGCCCTTCTTTATTCGAAGTCGACGACTCATATTTCGAAATGCCATAGTATTTGCAATTTCACTAATTTCGCCCTGTACCTATATTCGGCAGCCAACGTAACACCACTCATAATTTTGGGTTTAATTTTTGTGAATTCACTTACCTTTTTGATCAGCTATTGCCTCAAGTTATTTATAAAATATAAAGCAGTCACTCATATATGATAAAATATTTCAAAAACTATTGAGCACTTAGGAAAACATTTAAATTAAAACAAAATTTAAATAAAAAATTATTCTAAATTGGACTTAAATGGTCTTTAAGTATTTCCAATCAGAGACTCATAATCAATTTTATCTGATCAAATCAGAGTTCTTTAAAAGCTTCAAAAAATTGATGAATAATCTAAGTTAAGGCTTAGTGAAATTGAAATATACTAACCTCAATTAATAATGAATATATAATATTAAATTAAATTGATGTAAAATAAATTGAGTCACTTTCGAGTAACCTAAATACCAAACGAATAATAAATGGCATTGTTGACGAAGTAAATTCAAACTTGAGAGCATAAAATCGTTACTAGATTTAACCAAATTTTACAAATTAACGAAAAACTTTTAACTATGGAAATATTAATGAATAATGATTACTAAAGAGTGATTTAAGACAATACTTTACTACTAATATTGAGTACTTTGAGTAGCTGTTTCAACATTTTGTCATAGAATATAAATATATATATATTGAAAATTTTTTGTTTTTTAAAAAAATTATTTCACATGTTAAAAATAAATTTCAAAATCATCATAAAAACAAAAATAAAAAAAAACACAAAAAAAAATCTTTAAAACGTAAAAACAAAATCACCTGTCACTAGTATTTGATGGCAATTTATATGTGCTTAGCATTTTCCATGCAAATGCCAAATACATCTGCTTGTAGTTAATTTCACAATTTGGAAAATCTTCGCATTATTTTCAAGACTGATGCGCAACGCTCGCATTTTGTGGTATTAAAGGTGATTTCCATAGCTTTATGTGTAACTAAATTTAGCAACGAAAATGAATTGTACTATCGTCTTGAGAATATACCATAGATATACCTACTAAGTATCATATGAATATACATACTTAGATTCATATATATATATCTATATAATATATACATATGTTTACCACATATACTTCTCCTCATATTCAAATAATTTGTAGGCATATAAGCACCGACTTCATGAACATGAGAAAATTATATATTTTCGGTTTCTTGCTCATGATTTAAATTGAAACAACAGTTGAAGGAATTTTTTTTTTATTAAAAAAAACTTAAAATATTTATATATATTGTATCTAAATGCATATGCCACTGGTTAAATTTAAAGCAAAACGATTTTGGTTGCAATAATTTATTTGGCGAGCTGTTGACTTATGACCGTTTATTTTCGTGAATTTTTCCTTTATTTTCACTTTTGTTTAAAATACGCCCACTGTCAGCGTTTCATGTCGCAGTGTGGGGTACAAATGTATATAAAAATTTATATACATGTATATATTAGAAGAGGAGCTTTATATATGTTTATCTTATTTATACAGACATATATATTATAAAAGTCTCCGATCGAAAATGCTGGTGCGATGCCACAGCTGTTCGCTTGAGTTTTGACACTCTTTCATTTGCTTAAAATATATTTTATATTTAATATTTTAAAAGCAATTTTTATTGCTAATTCAAGTCATATGTACCTGTATNCTCAGTTAACAAAACCAAATAAAACTTCCACTTTAATGGCGCCCACTGTACTTGCAACTGGAAGTAACACAAATTATCTAAAATGTTGCAACCGCCTCTGAAGTACGTATACAGATACATACATGCCGACATATATAAGCATGCACTGTCGCGCTGATTCACATTATCTTGAGCACACACTCACTTGCCACCGCTGCCACACCACACGGACCGGCAGCGCGGCGCACTCGAACTGGTGAAATGTGGCGCAGTGCATCAAGTGCCTACAACGCAGTTCAGAAAACATTATTGCAGGGTATTTTTAGCGATCACCTCGCCCGCACTCTCGACATCGCCGGCCCGCGCCGCGCCAAGCGAATAGCGACGATCAGCGAAGATCGAAGACCGCTGCAACGAGCGCAACTATGCAAGCGTGGCGAGTCAGTGAAGCGCGGAAGATAGGCAAGAAGGCAGACACAAGCAAAGAAAACAAAAAAACAAAAAAAAAAGAACAAAAACATAGCAGAAAAAATGCAGTAGGATGCAACGACATTCCACCACATGCAGTTAATATGAACCAGTTTGGTCCCTAGCCTTTTGTGCGCAGACAATCAAGCGGATCCACAAATGAATGCGCCACATAAATCTCGACATGTGTGTGCGTTTGTATGTAAGTGTTGTTGTGCTGCCGGCGAAATTGCCCTCGCAAGCAAATGCCATTAAAAACAAGAAAGAAGCACAACAATAACAGCTACATTCACTAGCGTGGTGACAGTCGACTTCGTAGTCGGTGCAACAGTTGCCACTGCCACAGCAATGCCGGTTTTTCGTTGCCGGCAATGACGCACAATTTTACTGCCTCGAAGCTTGATCGCACGGTCGTGGC